CATTAGCTACTTTATGAGCAAATTGGAGAGGGGATTTGGGGTGAATCTAGGTCGTCTTTTCTGCTTGGTTTCCTGCATACTTAGGCCTACGTGTAAAAGAAAGCCTTAAGGGAATTAGAAATGCATATGCTAAGAGGATGAAATGGGACAGGGGACCCTCAACCATATGTTAGGCCTACGGTTTTCACTGAAGATTCACTGGTATTGATTTAATTAGGGCATTGTTTGGACTGACATGGATTATGAACTTAGGTTGACCCCACAACACTTTTGAGGGCATCTGCTGCAACTGATCTGATTGAGGATGATCTAATGTGTCTTTGTGCGCTACACACTGGGGTTACAAAGGTCAGCCATTTTGAGAACCAGGGTCTTAAACATGGTATGGATAGTTGGCCCTGTGATATAGTCTTACAAAACAAAGTGTAGCCTCATACTGAAATTTCAACACTGGCTGGGAGTTTTCACTTTACTTAGATTAACAACAACTAATGCTTTACCGGCATGTAGATTAGGCACAGTGCAGTTGTAGCCCTAAAAGCGGGTTCGAGAAGCTTCAAGATGGCATTATAACTATTGGAAGTCGTCAGTGTAGCTTTCCATCTTAACTGTCTGTACAACTCATTGGATTTTAACCTTTGAGACTCAAATCATGACTGTTGACGTGTATTTAAAGTTACAACTACACTGAACTTTATTTAATTTAATTGACGGCCTGTTTATGTGCTATGGAGAAAGATCAGAATATATTTATCTACCAAAGTCCAAGAGGTTTACATTTTACCACTTCTTTCTCTAATATTGTGTACGTGAACAAAGTGAATGCTGAATTAGTTAAGATATACATGTTAGGGTGTAATTATCTTAGTGACAATGCAATCTTATTGTATTTAAGTTGACCTTCACGTTAGAGTTAAAGAACAAATCGAACGCAAACGTTTCGAGGAAAATTCCCAGGACTCGTTTTTATTAAGAGAATTTCAGAACATAAGAGAGGGACCAGACACCTGCATTTGTCAGAGAGGTTTCCAAATTCATTCGATTTAAAAAAAACAAAAACAAAAAAAAAAGAGTTGTATTTTGTAATTATTTAGAAAAGCTGACATGACAGCATCAATGTGGATGGAGCAGTAGCTGTTTTGTACACGCAGGGTCGGAGGAGGCTGTTCCCGGAATGTTTTTTGTACATGTTCGTCTTCCTCTTTCTTATGGACATCACACTTTTTTTTTCTTTTAAAACACAATTTCAATGAAAAAATAAAACAATAGATCAGGAGACAGAAGCGTAAGGGAACTGCACACTGCACATTTAGAGTCTAAAAGAAGAAATCACCCACATTACCAATGGTTGAACCGTTAATAAAACATGGAGAAAAAGTTGTAGGAGAGGAGAGGACTAAATCGGCAGAAGGTTTAGATCTAGATTAAAGGGAAAGAACACAAGGGGTACACAACTCACAACATAGTAGCCAATCCGGCAAAAAGGGACACACTTTCTACACCAAAACAAGCCTTCAACAATCATGAATGCCATTTAAAAAAGATTTGCGTGTGTTCTTTTCTTTTTTTTTTTCTCAAATCTTGCAGACACGTTTTTTTGATATGACCACTGCAAGTCTGCAAGGTGCTCCATATTATTCAGCTTTTGCTTTTTGTGCTAAAAATCTGTACGGATACTTATAAAATCATTGATAAAAATATTCCTCTGTTAACAATACGCCTTGGAGGGAAACCGTGTGAGATTGGCTGGGGTTTTTATCGGAGGAAGTGGGGGCGCTGAGGGAGGGTGAGATAGGGCAGTGCTGCTACTCAGACTTAGCCTCCTCCTTGGCCTCTTCTGGAGCTGCCTCATCCTGAAAAACACACAAATAATGCAGAAAAATCCATTAACAACTCCACTTACAAGTTACAGAAGCGCATTTTCGTCGTTTTAAGTGTCGCACGTACCTCATTGGTCTTGGCGTCTCCGTTCTCAGAGTGGTTTTCCTCATTGGCTTCGGCCTCTGCGTTCTCCTTCGCCTTCTTGGTCTTCTTGTCCTCCTTCTTGTCGTTCACAGCCTTTTCTTTCTGTAAATTCGCAAAGTTTTATTAGAATTTTACTTCAAATTACCTACATTTGATTGTTAATGTGGTTCTTAGACATAGGTTTTCATAATATTACCTTGGCTGCCTTCTTAGCCTTTGGTTCAGGCTTAGGTGGGGCCGGTCTCTGCAAAAAAGGACAAAATTAAGTTAGAAATAAGAATTTAAACACTATAATCCCTTCTGTATTGTTTCCCAATGTTAATTTAAGTATAACTGATCATAATCCTCCAAAATATTGATTAAGGCATCTAAAATTGCCTGTGTGCAGTTTATACATCGATATTTTTTTATTTCTTGGACACTTAAATGTAAATGTAGTTTTAAAATGTGATTTTAGTTACATTATCATCATGAATAACTTGTACTTACATTTTAATTAGATAATTTAGGTTTTAATTGCTTATAAAGGTCCAATATTACTGTGAATGCAAATTTGACTAGTTTTCCACCATGTAACGCACTTTAAAAGCGTATTTATAGCGTTGACTGAGGTAAAATGATGTCGTTTGTAATTATAGTCATTATGAAGTTTAAATGTGTGTTACTGAGGTGAAACATGTTGTTTTAATGTTGTTTTTACTAATTTAAACTAAATTAGCGTGGTAAATTAGATGTATTACATAAAATTCACTAACTGATCACTTTAAATCATGGTATTAATGTAAATGAACATGTGTGGAGTGTTTTCCCTGAGTTTTCTTACCGCTGATAACCGAGCCGATCTCCTTTGGGGCTAAAACAGAATAAAAAGGGTTATTTACATCTTTTTATATTAAAAACAGTCATGTTCAGAAGTTACAGGTTAAAACATAACCAAGGGTGACAAAAGGAGACATTAAATCATTTTATTGATCAATTATTGAGTAAAATCAAAGTTTTAATCACATTTAGAAAGTGTTTTTGACATTGTGGTGCTTACCTCCTCCTTCTCACCTCCCTCAGCTGCCGCGGCCTGAAAGACACAGAGAAACAAAGACATTAGTGATAATACATCAAAAACCCATTTTAACAGGTTATTGAAGGTTTATAAAAAGAGGGAACATTTGTTTAATGTCTCCAATGCTTTTTATTCATCATTACAGACCTGGTGAAAAAACTTTTCAGATTCACCTGTAAATTAAATTTTATTTGAAATCCAGGTGTATTTTAGTAAATGTGGGCCATGGATAAAGCACTTTTGGTTGGATTCAGGATTAAGGGGTAAGAGCCGAGCCTCGTGCGCCGCTGGAGCCGCATTTTGAGGGCCCCGGCCCCGCTGTTCCCTTTCACTCCCCCATCTCTTTCTCTCATTCAAAGCATGGAGCTCAGATTTGAAAGCTGGCGCGGGAGTCTCTGAGAAGGGGGAGGGACCAGTGAAGCTCACAGACGCCACCATACGGCAGGTCTACGTTATTGCAGCCATTTGGGACCATGAACAAAGAGAGAAAATATATAATTTTATCGAAACGTGACGGCCAATGTTTGTTTTTGTGGTCAAAATGCAAAGTAAAGGTACTAAGGCATTTTCTCGTGGTACTTTTGTCCGGTTTGGTGCAGAAATGGCGATAAGTGAGGCGTTTGTTCTCGGTAGGTCGGCGACGAAGGTGGACAAGAGCTGCAAAGCATGGCTGCTGCTTGTGCTTTAACTGCATGGAGACCGAGAGACTTCTGACTCCCCAAAGGACAGCGGCTCGCGCACTCAAACGCATTTTATAGGTCATGTCCGAATGGGAAAATATTCATTCCAACACACAAAAAATACACGTTTTATCTACAACCTGCCCAAAAATTACCAACAAAAAACGACGACTATTCATTGCGTTATAATTAAGTAATGTCTCTGAGGATGTCTTCCCAATCCTTTGCACACCGTTATTAGCTGTTACCGTCTTCAAATAATTTCCAGTATTTGGAAAATACGTACCTTTCTCTTGGGCATGTTGATCTTTTGGAGATTTTCTTACAAAGACAACTAAAAACAGTTTTTCTTGTTGGGCTCAGTGCATGTGAAGACGAGTGTCTCCCCTATGGTCGGCAGTGTAGTAAACACACTGGAACAGAGAGGAGAGTGGTTGAATGGGGGGAGGGGTGCGGCTAAAGGCATGATTGATAGGCTCTAGGCCAATCAGGAGGCGCCTTTCGAGGCTGCAGAGCACTTGGAGCATTTTTGGAGCCGGTGATGTTCTTCTTGGGTCTCTGCGAATGGCTTCTTGCAGAGCGAGAAGGGAGGAAAGCAACAAAACGGCACTGCAAACGAGGGCAAGTCGCCTGCGCGCGCTCATGTTCAATCAAACAGAGAATCCCGTGTTCATTTGAACGCAACATTGTACCGAGCGTAACATGCGCCTGGGTAAAAGCCATGCATCCCCTATAGCTCGTACAAAGACAAGTCCTAACATCTGCTGCGCCCCGCGAGGAGGCATTTCACCACTATTCACTTCATGTTTGAGTCCAATATGGCGCCCACTCCCCTCCGACACATTTTTTGTTTGTCAGTCGGCGTTCCTAAATTCGTTTCAGGGAAAAAGCCTCAGTGTCGCCCGCTCCAGACGCCTGCAGGGGGCCTACAAAGTCTACGAAATAAATGTAGCGCCTCTGAGCCGGCGTGGAGGCGCTTCCACTGCCTGTGCTGATACAAAGGCGCGCTCCTCTGAAATCACGGCAAATTATGAACTCTTCTGTCACTTTGACAAAAACACCAGTGATATTTGGGAGAAAGGACGAGGCATGACCAGTGTTTGCTCTGGACACAGGACAATAGGGCCACAGACAATGGGCCGGTGAGAAAGATTCAAGCCATCATGATAGGTCTACTGCGCCTCGCTGCGTGCGCGTACGTGTCTGGGAGTGTGAGCCCAGAGAAAGCAGAGAGAGGGCTGAAGGGGCGGGGTGCAGCGGAGAGGCGGAGGAGGAATGCAAACCTTCATCCACAGCGCTGAGCATTTGCGCAGATAGTCTGCGCTGCCTTTCGCGACAGCTTTAGCAGCAGCCTCCGGGAAGTTTGGTGCTCGCTGTCTCCGCCCGAACCGCGCAGTGAGGCTGTCACCGGGAAACAGAGCACCTCTACCGCTACAACAGCGCCAGCATCACGGCTTCAACATGGTGATCAAAGTCTACATAGCATCGTCCTCCGGATCCACTTCGGTAAGAACAGCACCATATAGCAGTTATGTAGCTCTGTTTTTGTTATAGGAAGCAGAGGGATGGAAGCAGCTGAACTTTTATTGAACTCACAAAGCTATTCCAAACATTATAATCATTTAGCATGCACTGGTCTGAATCATCACTCTTGGGCTCTGTCCAGCTCTCGTTCCTTCTACACTGAACAAAGACAGAATTAATTTCAGTTTATCAAAAAAAAAAACAAAAAAACTTTTAAGGAGGAAGAGAGGCTGGGCACCCCTCTCTCAGCTGTGGTTTGTCACCAAGCTTCCTGTACTAACAGACTGCAACTGACACTAACAAAAACAGGAAAGCTCAAAGTATTTTTACATCAGCAAACATTTACATCTCTAATGCCTGCACTGTGATGTTATGAGCCGTTTATATGTGCAGGGGTCTTGCAGTGGTATGTGTATATAGGCCCACATCGTGTAGTGTCACTCAGTCAGGTCTTTGGAGCAGCAGAGGAATAACGGTGATGCAATTCTCCAGGGCCCCTTCAGAAATGCAGCTGGAGCTCAGGAACGCGTAAGCCCCAGACCCAGAGTCCAGACAAAACATGGACCTAATCTCTCAAAGCATGTTTGCATGTGCCTGTTTAGTGGTGTGTGGAGCTACATCTGATCATCTGAACTACAGGAAGTGACCTCATGTTTCTATTAGCAGGCATCAATAGCAGTATTTTTGAAACAGTGCTTAAAGGTCTTATATTATGCAGAATTGACTCTTGTGAGCTTTAAGTCTTATTATAATGCTGTTACCTCCTCAAAAACATACTTGGAATTGTGTTTTGTTTCATTTGCACATGTTTGAAGAACTCTTTATTATTAGTCTGTCTACATCCCCAAAGCTCAAAATGCTCTGTTCCACCTCCTGTAGTGATTGTTTTGCATTTAACTGCCTGGTTTACCTTTTGTTCAGTTAGGATTGACAATTCCGGGCCTGAAATTATATATATATTTCTAGTAAAGTTGTATAGAATTTAAAAAGCACTTTCTGTATTACCACATTATATCACAAGGTGGAATAAAGTATTTTCTATATGAGAGAAGAACTCAGCCTAAATATGCAGGGTTTGCGTGTTTAAACATGTGTGAATGAAACAAAGCACAACTCAAGGTATGTTTTTGATGAGGAAACAACATTATAACATAGATCGAAAATCATAATTGTGGCCCTTTAAGATCTAAACACTATTTACAGTATTTCTGTTGTTTGCTATGTGAATCCTATTATCTACGCACAGTCTGTTTGCGATCTGATAATTGTGCCAACTCAGATTGTAATTTTGATTTAATTGCAGTATATTGTGCGGCCCTAGCCATAACATAAAAGCAAACAGGCCCAAAGAGACACTACGCCACACAGCTTTGGAGATTTGCCTTTGGCTGGCTGCAGTGGGTTTGTTTGTACCAAGCCCATCCCATACACCACAATAATGCTGTGAGGAAAACAGGTCATTGCAACATGGACGCGTTTTTGTTACACTTGTATTTGAAGCATGTGGGCTTTTTGATGTGGAGTTTGTAGGTTCTTCCCGTGTCTGTATGGTTCCCAAACAGCGTAATGATAAAAGTTCTCCAGCTATAGATCATCCTGGCAAATGAATGACTGAATGAATGAATGATCTGCAGTCTCATAGTCCGATGAGGTTCATTTGGTCTTTCGATAATTTATGTTATTAGGGTTTTTTTTCAGACCAAGAGTTTGTTTTCATACCTGACAGTTTCGACTGCTCACTAGCGCTCTTCCTCAGAGTGGTCACGTGATGTTGCTGTGACGTGTCCGGTCAGCTGATTTAAACAGGTTTTGGCGCTGTCTTACTGCCGGTGGAGGCAAGACGACAGCGCCATCTGCAGTCCGACTTCCTCAGGACAGTATCCCAGGTGTGTGAGAGTAAAAAAGCCCCCTCGTCCCGGTTTATAGTCCCGTGGGCACGTTTCCGTATTTCGATTGCCTCTTTAATCCAGTGGCGATGTTTGTTTTCCTCTGTCCCAATGATGTTTGCTCCATCCCAGTCCATAATCTGGTTCTCTCTTTTACAGTGGTCAGAAATGGCCGATTTGAGTTCCTCCTGTTCTGCTTTGTGTTTTGTTTTTCGTGTACACGCCTTCACTGTTTCCTTCTCGCATTCTGTTCTATGTTCCTTTTTTCCTGATACTGTCCTGAGGAAGTCAGACTGCAGATGGTGCTGACGTCCTGCCTCCACTGGTAGGAAGACAGCGCCAAAAACCTGTATAGATCAGCTGACCGGACACGTCACAGCAACATCACGTGACCACTCTGAGGAAGAGCGCTAGTGAGCAGTCGAAACTGACAGGTATGAAAACAAACTCTTGGTCTGAAAAGAACCTAATAACATAAATCTGCAGTTTCGTCTGACAAAGAGAGATGATCTGGATTTGTCAGGCAACATCATGGTAGCTCACTAAAAGCAACTAGATCATAAGACTATAAATAAACAAAAGAAATAAATAAAAGAAAACATCTTGGGGATCTTGGGTAGCTCACTCCAGCAGTAAAAAATTGGTAGTAACAGTAAAGTAAATAACAACGGCACATGATTACTGCACGTCTTGTAAAACTTTTCTATTCAAAACTTTAGTTAACAGCTGGTTAAGAGTTCTTCTTTGAATGAATAATCCTGAATTCTATGCAAAACCTCTTTTATTTGCCTAGTCAGGTGCTGTTTGAATAGTCAAGTATTTCAAGGAGCACTTGGACTTGACTTAATTTAAATATATCTGTTGTTGGTACTATCCGTTTGAGTGAAGACGCTCAGTTGATTCTTGAGAAAAGCTTAAGAGCCTGAAAAATGTCTGAAAGAGCAGAGAAAGTTAAAGGTGCATTGTGTAACTTTCCATCAAATGCTTTTCTTCATGGAGATGTTATTACTTCATCTAGAATGTTTCACAGTATGGTATTAAAACTTTTTATCATCATGGAGACCAAACCAGACCAAGTTATGGGTCACATCTGTGGAGAGGCAACCTCACTCACAGTTAGAACACATTTATTTCTAGGTGTTTTTGAGCTATAAAACCACTATAATTGAATAAATGTAAGGTAGCGCTGTTTAATGTCATACTGTGGAACATTCCAACAGAAAAGTTATACAATGCACCTTTAAGTGTGGCCATTTAACTCAAGTGTCAAACATGAACAAGCATCATATTTCCCACTGACAAAGAGTTTATGTAAAGTAATCCTTAGGTTGGTGATTTTAATGCCTTTATTAGGGAAGTGCCGATCCAATACTGTATCAGATATCGGTGCCAGTACTGAAAAAAACAAAAAAAGCTGGATCAGATTCAGTTTAGCCGGCATCCTGGTTGGACATATAAACTGATGTAATATGACTATTTACAGGTCATAGTTGGCTCAGAAAGACTCATAATGTTTGAACTTGTGTTTATACAAAGTTGCTCTGTGATTACTTGTGGGATAAAAAACAGCCGCATTTGGATCAGCTTTGTCTTATTTTATTTTTGCTTAATGGAAATAAATGGTGTTTTTAGTCTCTGCGCTGGTATTGGTTGATATCGGGTATCGGCAGATGTTTAAAGTTACAGTATCGAAATTGGTATCAGAATTGTAAAAGCTGATTTGGTGCATCTCAAGCCTTTAGCGGTTGGACGAGATCCAATTTCCACAAGACAAGACACGAGACTTGATCTACAAGAACAAGACAAGATGAGATTTTGACATTATTTAGGCTACGTTTATATGATGACGGTCTGAACGGAAGACGCAAAAGTGGCGTCGTGTCTTCGCTTTTTATTCCGTGTTTAGACGAGAGTTTTCGGGAAGAAATCTGCGTGCATACGGTGATGCAAAAGTGTGTGGGATTTGACTGGGGACGCTTGTACTTAAAGCCACGCCACACATTTTCATCAGCTACTCCTTCCACAAAGTTGTCCCACCATCGACTGGTTCTCCAGGGTCTCATCCACAGCCGTCTGTCTTGCCTGTGACGAACTGGTGCATCCAGAATTTGACAGAGGTGTTTGCAGATCCTTCTCCGTTCACTAATAGTATCTCTACATATTCTGTACATTTGTTGGGAGCCTCCTGTAAGTTTATTAGAGCAGCTTGAAGGTCCGACACATGGAAATGATCTGACATGTTTGTTTCTGTGTACTTTATGTATGTGATGTAAAAGTGAACGTAACGTGAGCAGATCTGACCAGAGTTTTGCATCTTGGGCAGTGTAGACGGAAACGCTACGACGGAGCGTATTTAACTTTTCCACTCTGGAGGGTGGTTTCAGATTTTTGCGTTTTTAAAGACAGACAGAAAGACACTTCCAATAAAATATTTAGCTGTTTTTACCTGCAAGCGTTTTTGTGTAAACAGGCTCTTAGGCTATAATAAATACATTGTGCCCAATTTTAGCCTCACCATTTTTTATTTACTTTATTTACTTTATTTAATATTTCTGCTGTGATTGTAGCTCTGCTTTTTGTGTGCAGTACTGTATTTTTTCAATCCAACCATAAAAACATGAGGAAAGACTCTCACAAGATCATTTTTAGTACGTGTGCACGATCTTGTGGCAGTTCCGTCTCATGAGATTTTGTGGCACGAGATCTTGTCCCATCCGTATATAATAAACGTTCTTGAGCTACCACGCCAGTCTTTCAGTGAGCACTTGGACTTGACTTAATTCAAATATATCTGTTGTTTATACTGTCTGTTTGAGTTGAGACACTCAGTTGATTCTTAGGAAAAGTTTAAGCTCAGAGTCTGCAGTCTGACCGAGTAGAGAAGGTTAACTGGCTAAACATTTACTGAAGCTTAGAAGCAGAGTCTCAGAAATACTTGCTTCAGAGACAGTGTTGGAGTTGAGAGTGTGTCTGTCTGCAGAGTACATTAGCGCGACCATTGATTTGCTCTTAAAAACAGTGAGTGCAGAGAGTACACAACAATGATGTTCCCTATAAACAGGGCTGAGTGACAATCTGTTTTTTATGTCATAGAAA